GCGGGTGAGGGATGGGGGGGGGTTGATCTCCAGCCGCCTCTATTGCTCTTCGCCAGGAAGATAAAGGTCGCCTGTGATTGTTTTGGGGAGGTTGGCTTGTTTTGTCTGCGTCTGTGCCCTTCCAGCCGGGTTCAAGTCTCTCCAAACAACAGTCTCTGAAATGTCTCAAAAGCGCGCCTTTCGGAGTGACGCTTCGCTTCCCTCCCCCGCTCCCCATTTCTCCCCCCCTCAGAGCTCCTGGGGAAAATGGGAGGCCAAAGTGGCGGTGCGGGGGGTGGTCGACATTCGGTGCCCCCCCCCAAAAAAAAAAGACCTGCCCCCCCCCGCGCGCGCTCTGGCCGAGGCGCCTCCTCTTCTCTCCCTCCGGCCGCTTTCGCGCTCTTCTCCCGGCGCGCCCCCGTCCCGCCAAAACTTCTCCCGCTGCCGCCGCCGCCAGCCCTGCCCCTACGAGTCGTTGGGCCCGGCTGAGGAGTCCTTGCCTCGCGCCTCGTGCAGGATGAGGTCCGGGGACTCGGAGCGGGGCGTCTCCAGGTTGCTGGCGTCCGTGTCGCTGTCGCTGCCCTTTTTGCCCCCGCCTCCCCCGTTGTGCGTCTTAATGTGTTTGCTCAGGTGGTCGCTGCGCATGAAGCGCTTGTTGCAGACCGGGCAGGCGAAGCGCTTCTCGCCGGTGTGAGTCCGCAGGTGCCGCTGGAGCTCGTCGGAGCGCGTGAAGCGCTTCCCGCAGAAGAGCCAGTTGCAGACGAAGGGCCGCTCGCCCGTGTGCCAGCGCAGGTGGGCCTTGAGGTGCGACGTCTTGCCGTACACCTTGCCGCAGCCGGGGATGTGGCAGCTGTGCAGGCCTTTGCGCCGGAGGCTGGCCCCCGCCGGCCCCAGCCGCTCGGCCTCCTGGCAGTTGGGGCAGTCGCAGGTGGCGCGGCCCGAGTAGCGGCGGGCCGACGAGCGCGGCGAGCCGCCCAGCGGCGCCGACCGTGGAGCCCAGGCCGGTGGAGCTGAAGGCCGAGTGGGTCAGCGAGCTGAAGTCGGCCGGATTGTAGGTGCCCAGCTGGGAGTGGAGCGAGGCCTGGGGGGCGCCCGAGTGCAGCGAGCTCTGCAGCCCCCCCGCCGGGTTCTGCACCTCCAGCCACGAGCCCGGGTTGGTGTGCACGTCCCACCACGACGAGGCCGCGCCGTTGGCCACCTCGCCCGCCGCCAGCGTGGAGTGGAAGCCGGACTTGTACCAGGACTCGTAGGGGTGCGCCATGCCCACCCGCGGGTACAGGCTCTCGGCCGCGGAGCTGTGCACTTTGGAGATGAAGGCCGACTGCCCGCCGGCCTCCTGCGGAGACACGCCGGCCGCCGCCGCCGAGTTGGAGAAGAGGCCGCTGTAGTCACTGCTGAAGGCCGACGACGTGGGCGAGGTGGAGGCCAGGCAGAAGGCGCTGTTGGCCGTCCCGCTGCCGCTGGCCAAGCCGCTGGAGCCGCGGCTGGTGGCCACCGTGAAGCCGGACAGGCTGGAGCCCAGGTTGCAGCTGGAGGTGGAGCGCTTCCAGGGGTGGAAGCTGCCCTTGGCGAAGGCGCTCGACTCCGGCAAGGTGGTCAGCGGGCTGGTGTTGCCGATCTTGTTGCAGGTGGCGGCTAGCATGGCCAGAGGTGTGGTTCCAAAGCGTGGCTCTTCCTGGGGAGGGGGGAGACACAAGATGGAGCTCGTCAACTTCGCCCCCGATCAGGCAGACAGACACACAACCACCACACACACACACACAACCAGACGTGCCACCCGCGTTCCTTTCCCGCACCCAAGAGGCCAGGAGGGCACCCGTGCCGGAAACTTCCCCGTGCGGAAAGTTGGGCGCAACTGAATGCCTTCGGTTTTATTTTGCTGGGAAAGAAGGAAGTCCCATTCGGGTCCATCCCGTCTAGCTCCGTCTCAGTTTATGTTTAGCGCCCTACCACTTTCCCCCTGGCGCACCGAATGTTATGCCCACCGCGACACCCCGTGCTAGTTACACTACAGGCACCCCGTTCTACTTAACAAAAGCGCGCCCGATCCTCCATATAAGATTGGAAAGGCAAGACTGCGATTCTTCGTTTTTTGTTGTGATGTCCTGATTGAATCACGCCGGTCTTTAGACGCAAAAAAGATACCGAGCGAGGGAGCGAAAGCAAAACCACGCGTTTTCTCTAAAGCCATTATCTAGCAAAAAAGAAAGAAACGGCACGGAAACGTAACTATAGCCAACTGGGTTTCCTGGCAGACGTTGCCGGTAAACCTGAGGGAGGAAGCCATAAACGCAGCAAATTTAAGGAAAAGAAGCCGCGGGATGAGGTTGGGGGGGTGGGGGTGAGGCACACCATTTGAGTCAGGACAAATCAAAGCGGCCAGCAAAAAGATCCCGATCCCGTCTTCCAAGGAAACAGGATTTGAAAACCATCCTTCTCAGACCCTTCAGCGCCATTCTTCGCCAGGTGGACAGCTAGAGCAACAGTTTTAGTCGCGCTGCCCCCAGAAGAAGAAGAAGACAAAATATATATATATGCATAAACTTAAAATGAAAACCGGTGCTCGGTGAATAGAGACACATGTCTGGACTTACCCCGAGAATAGACGTAGCCATAGCCAAGTCCCTCGGCTGGGCGATGGGATCGGAAGGGGGGCTCTGCCTTGCGCGCAGAGCGGCGAGTTTGCGCGACGTCCTCCCAGTTCCCCGCTGTACTCCACTACCACTAAGTACACTCCTGGCTCTGGACAGCTAAACTCAGCCTAAGCGTGGGGAGCGCCTGCTTTGAAGTACCGCTGGCTGAGACTCTCGCCCAATGAGGGCGCAGAAAGAACAAGCAGGAGCTGCCCCGCAGCCAATCAGAAACTTGGAGGTGCAAGAACCAGGGCTCTGGTCGCGTGCCACTCAAAGGCATAAGGAGGAAGAAAAAAAATGTATGTATCTCGCCAGTGTGCTTTGGTCTTTTAAAAGCATTATATTGCAATTAACTTTTTTTTAAATTGAAGCCTGGGCTTAAATATCCTTAAGGTTCTGCACTGAAGACATATAAGGATCACAGTTCCTTTTAAAAAACGTTTCGGCAAGGGGGGGTGGGAGAGAAAAGGCATGGAAGAACGCAACCTGGGTTGGTGTGGGTTTTTTTTCAAATTTTATTCTCCCCCCCCCCCCTTTGCATTCGATTCTCCCTTTATACACCGAACTTCACACGATCTCATTAACCCACCAGTTCATTTAGCAGAAATAGCTGTCCCACTAAATATGCAATTGCCACGGAGGGAGTCTTTTACCCCACAGGCCTTCACTGTCACCCCGGTCTCTAAAGAGTGGGGGCAGTACTTTATTGCAGGATACAAACGGCAAGAAAAGCATTTGGAGAACCGTCAGTAAATATCCTACCTTACTTATCGGCAATGACATTTGGGTCTTCTGCGCACTTGTACTTTCTGTTTGTTTCGTTTGGAAGGAAGCTTTAAACTAAAGAGGCACTGCAATGAGATGATCTCTTTTTTGCCTGTTTGTTTCAAGAAGGAAATGAGCTAATTCTGGTCATCTGGGTCGTATTGAATTTCTGAATTTGCAAAGAAGAGCTAGATCGCAAAGGTGCGCACGATAAAGCCTGAGTCCTCGCCAAGTTTGAACGTCTGCCCGAAAGGTTTTTTTTAGTCCCTGTGGATCCCCTGGGAGGAAAACGCACCTTGGGGGCTTATCTCCCCACCTCAACCCCACCCCCCACATACACACACGACGAGCATACCAACGTCCCAGGACTTCCAAGCTACTTCATTCTAATTGCTTGAGTCCAGAATGTTAACTTTACGCAGCTCTTGGCCATGAAGCCGGATTCGTTTAAGGAATTGTATCAAACTCACCCGATCTGTGTCCGGGCGAAAGATCAACTTTAAAACAAAAAAATTGGGAAACCCAAAAACCTGGCGATGCACTCTGTACTGCTGAGGTTATTCCCTCCTGTCGGTCTGCTTCTCACAGCGGTGGTGAGGCATGGGGAGACGGAAAGGCGGAGAGAAAAACTTGGGCTCTTTCTCCTGCTAAAATCTTTTCTGCTGCATCTGCGACCTCCCAGCCTCACTAGTTCGCAGATGCAAAATACACGTGGTTGAAAGGCAAAGGGGGGGGGGATCACGATTCCCCCAACCAGTCCGCCTGCTTCCCTTATGTCATCATTTAACAAAAACTCCGAGAACCTCAAGTGTATAATAAAACAAGATTTCGTGGCACCTCTGAAAACGCAGGACCTATTCCTCAAGTCCCTCGACTCCAAACCAGCTACTATAACAGCTGGAGAGGTCCTTTCTGTGACCGCTTTAACATGCCCCGGTTTTCTTCCGAGTGGCGTGTGGGTTGCAGGAATCCAAGTGCGAGAACTGCAGAAGCCGGAGGGCTCGCCTGCTTCTCTTTGCACCTTGACTTACTCTGAGCTCTCTGGGGCTGGGGAAGAGAAGGGACGGCGGGGTAAGAGGGAGGCAAAACGCATCCAGGGAAAAGGAAGGGAGCGCTTTACCCAAGGGCGCTGGGGACGGGGTGCTGGGGGGGACTATTGAGAGGGGGACGCAGCAGCCCGGCTGAGGCAGGGAGCCCCACAGGGACCTCCGGCCAGGAAACTCTCGCCCAGCCAACAGGTGAAAGTCTCTTCCATCCCTCTCCGCCCGGGGAGGGAGATGCGCTCCGCTGTTTATTTATAGCAAGCCCGCCGGTGCCTCCGCTAATAGAGGTGATGGTTAAGTGGCGCTGGGGCGTTTCTGGCCAACCAGGGGGCAGCTCGAGGAGGAGAGAGGGAGAGTCATTTCCCACCCTCTCTTTAAGGAAGGCTCACGGTGAAATAATCCCCCTACACCCTTTGGGGGGGGGAGTAGGTGAGTGGGTGGGCTTGGGCCCCCCCCCCCCCCCGCCGCGCCTAGGCTTTTAAATCATTCGTCTTAAATCTAGCGTCTGAAGACACCCAACACAGTATTGCCCACCCAATCCGTTCCCAACCTAGCAGACACACGCAGCTTTCCTCCCCAAACCTAATCACATTCTCTTGGCGCGTTGTTTTTTAAAACACATGGGCGTTGTGTGTTGCACGTAGCCGTCCATATTTTATTTTGTTTTATTTTTAGTAAATACAAGTGAAAATTGACGGATTCGGCCTGTGCGTGTCTGGAAAAGGGAGAAAGCAATCCAGTCCTCAAGGGGGAATGAGATGGAGAGGGAGGGAGAGAGAAATCTCTACTCCCAAATCTTTAGGGGGTCAAGCATTTTCTGTCAGATTTCTTCATACTCCAAAGGAAAAAATCGAGTTTTTAAACAAAGATCAGCGTGTTATGCTGAAGTGTTGAGCTGACTGTTAAAACATTTGGGGGTGATAATGACAACGTAACAAAGGCCCCGGTTTGGAGTGAATCATCACCCTTTTAAAAGTTAAAGCAATTTTCAGGAGAATGGCTTTCAGCAAACGCTTTACATTATTCAAAACGGCCAAATAATGCTCTATTATAGCGCCTGAATGCTGCCAGTCAGACCATAAGTGCAATTTGTGCAAAGGCTCGGTGCCTTATCTCTACTTCTTTATAAAGAGGTGAATATAAAACAATTTCTTCCAAACCCAGACAGAGAGCACGAAAATTGCTTCCCTTTCTGCAATCAGGGCAATTTAACTGGAGTGCAATTAGCACTATTAAATGTCGATTCTGCATAAACAAATCTGACTAAGAAGCGAAAGTGGGGTGAGAACCTCATATAAACTGAAACTGATTTTTTAAAATTATGTATCCGGGTCCTTCACAATTGATCCGTGACGTTTTTTTTTTGTCTCGGAATATATTTACATCGTAAATAACGCCGTGGCTAAATCAACATGCGTCTCTCCCACCCCTCCCGCCCTTAAATCTCAATATGAATACTAATAAAGAAAAATGGCCTAATTAAAGGCAACAGCCCTCCTTCCTTTCAGAAAATTTGGTTTCCCCGATCTCTCCCCCCCCCTTTTCTCCATGGCTCTCTTGATCTACCCCCAACTCCCAAAGTTGCAATCTTCAGGAGGTAGAACTACGAAACAATCGGTTCATTAGAGATGATTGGGGGGCTCGCGGGTTCACATTCAAGAGCTTCGGATGAAAACGCTTGTTTCGCTCCAAACCGGGTTTCGGTGGCTCCAAATCAATCGACTGAAGAGCGCTTCCCCGGGAATCTGGACTAGGGGGGTTCGTCACCGGTGCCGTCTGCGCGCCTTGCCCTCTCTCCGAGGCGCAGAACACCAGCCGTGCCAAACAGAATCGGAGGAGGGGGTGAACTGAAAGCTGCCCCCCCCAAGCCATTTATAGAAATGATTGCATCCCCCCACTTTTTTTTCCCAAGGAAAGCGAGGGCTCTCCCCTCTGAACCTTCGTCTCTCAATTATGCTTTTCATTTACATGATACAGAAACTGCCACTGATTTCCCATAGAAGCGCAGAAGGGGGAAGAATTAAGAACTTTGGTTAACAAAAGGTCTCCACCCCCCTCTCTCAAAGAGCTAGATATAAATGGGGGGGGGGGGGAAGCGGGATAATGTTTTAGGGGGCGGGGGAATCCCTTTCCTTTTTGCTGCACGTCCCCCCCCCAGTCCCTTTTCTTCGCGCTGCAAACAGTTTGCCTTTTGGAGGCCTACGGCGACGCGTTGCTTTTGATGGGGTGGAGAGGAAGGGGGATCCGGTCTTCTAGGTAATAAACAAAGGGGGGGAGAAGGAAGAAAAGAAAGGAGGAAGCAGCTGGGGATCAAACGGATCGCGGAAATTAAAGGGGAAATTACGGGACTCTTGAGTCGTGCCTGTCTCAGCTTTCATTGCAGATTTGTTCCTACGACGCCCTCCCCTCCACCCCCTGCAAATAAAGCCCCTAAAACCGGAGCATTTGATGGACGGGGCTTTCATCTCTCTCGGGTTAGGGGCAGCAGCGGCGAGAGGGAAGAGGCCCCAAGCTGCTGCCTGTTCCTTGGCTGGGGTGGGATCCAGTCTATCCACAGGAGGCGTCTCTCCCCTCCCCGCAGCGCCCCACGAAGTTACGTTGACAATTAAAAGGGGAGCCTCTGTTGTGTCATAGGTAGGCGACGGAGTGATGATTTTAATTACCAGAAGTTACGTGGACAATTAAAAGGGAAGCCTCTGTTGTGTCAAAGGTAGATGACGGAGTGATGATTTTAATTACTACAATTATTGGGGATTATTCAACAAAACGTCTTTAGGCTTGTTTACTGCCCCGGGAGAAAGACGTCGACGGGGTCGCCTCCGGAAATGGCTGCTTCGCAGCGCTCTTGGGGTAGCAACCGAGGCGCGCTGGCGTCGAGGCCGCGAAGCGGAGCCTGGGCCGGCCTGGCCTGCCCCAGCCAAGAAGCGACGCCCTTCCTCCTCCATTAAGCGGGATGCCAACTGGCTTCCCCTAGACCGTAGGGCGTGAGTTTCCCCCACTGCTCGCTGAGCTGGGCGGTGCGATCCCCAAGCGCTTCTGCGGAGAAGCGAGATCCAGACGTGGGAAGGGACCCCGGGGGCTTGGCCGCGATCGTTGCCGACGGCTGGGCGCAGCTGGGACTGAGTGCCGGTTTGCGGCGGCCACGGGAAACGCTCTCTGGACGCGCAAGGCCCC